TGATATCTTCAATTCTCTGATTTTGGTGAATATTTTAGTCATTTTTGCTAAAAAGTGATATTTTTGAATTCTTGTTGACATATTGTTCATTTTCTAATGATATCTTCTGTTCTTTAATTGGAATGTGCATTGCTAACAGCGGAGCTATCTCAGCCGAGAGGCTGCTTGTTTTGTATTCTTTAGTATTTCTAGAAATGAATGCTAATTCAGTGAAAATTTGGGTCAATTTTCTGCTTTTACTCAAAAACATTTGGCTATTTGTTTCCAATCTTTTGAAGGAAATGTGCAGACTACTACTAGTCAAGACTACTTTGTGAATTTGTGATGCAAAAAGGAACTGTTGGTAAAAAGGTAAAAATGCAGATAGAAACAAATCTGTAAGACTGAATATTACTATGTATGTTACTTTTTTACATAGAAATTAATATCACCTGTCCACCTTTACTGGAGCAAATAGAGAATGGTAATTCTACAGTTGAAGATAGACCTTATTTACATAATGAGATCATACGATACAGTTGTAATCAAGGATATAGAATAAGGGGACCAAAATGGAGAGTTTGTGATACGTACACAAGTGATGTCGCAATGTGGACTGATGAAACTGAAACAGTTCATTGTGAAGGTGTGGCACTAGTTTTTAATTATTTTGTTAAATGTATTTTATTATTATAGTATTATTAAATCAACCGCAGTTTTATCACTGTTGTTGTCAATGGCTCATGTATATATACTAAGTCGATAGCAAAAAATGTTATGAACAATTTTCAATAATTTATTAGTACTTTATCATAGTCTGGTTGTGTGTATAGTTTTATTTAATGGTATATTTACTTTCTTTAGAAATCAGGTGTCCGAACCCTTTAAGTCCAGAAGGTGGTAGAAAAGTTGGTAGCTCTTATGAACTTGGTGATACTGTAACATTCCGTTGTGGAAGTGGATATACTCTCTATGGATCAGAGAGTAGAACATGCATGGAAAATGGTAAATGGAATGGAACATTAACCATATGTGACAATGGAGGTAAATTTAATTCAAGTTTAATTAACTTGTTTCTATGTTAACATAAAGTTGATTAATCTATTTATTTATTTGACTACTAACAGTCCTCACTTATGCAAGGAGCTGCATCTTGTCATATTTTACTTAATTACAAGGTTAAAAGATTTCTTTCTTTTCTTTTCTTCTATTTCTTTATTTATTTCTGCATTATGGTTCTCTGTGTTCTTGCCCAGAAGTTATAGCCCTTGTATTACATTTTCTTTTCAGTAATTTACCTGTAGTTCCATGAAAAAAAAAAACATAGTCTGTGAAGTAAATTACTCATACTTGTAAAGACCTATACATTAATTGTGTGTATAGTCTTGTGTAAAAATACCACAAGATACATGTATTGAGAAAATTGTCCTCTAAGTCTGTGTATAGTCTTGTGTAAAAATACCACAAGATACATGTATTGAGAAAATTGTCCTCCAAGTCTGTGTATAGTCTTGTGTAAAAATACCACAAGATACATGTATTGAGAAAATTGCCCTCTAAGTCTGTGTATATTCTTGACTTGTCTATGAGTTGATATGTTTGTGTATTCAAACCTTTCAATGATTTCTAAGGGAATATGCATTACTGTCAACATTCAAAATTTTGAATGCCTATCTTGTAAATAAGAATATTGGTAAAAAAATATCCAAAATCTTCTGGGAACACTAAGACTGGGTTTTACTGTCAACAAATTTAAGGAATTATAAAAATAATATAATAAGCTAAGGAGTAGTTAATAATTGAAAAAATCAATTGCAAACATATCAACCATGGTTGTTTAAATCACTAAAAGTACCTTCATGATTAACCCTTTCATTTTTTCATCACCAGACTTTTTCAGCCCAAATTTTTCTGCATTTTTTTTTATATATCTGGAAATGAACCCTAATTTTGGAGCCAACAGACAAAATTTAAGTCAATTTTCAGTTTTAACTCAAATATTTGGCTATTTTCGCCCCAATCTTTTGAAGGAAAGTGCAGACTATAAACAAGACTATTTTGTGAATATGTGATGAAAAAAAGAGAGCTGTTGGTGAAACAGTTAAGTGCCTGAAAAACGACAACATTACAAGTTCATCAAAATTATTTCAGACATTCCAGAACTGGATCTCAGTAGTGTAAGGATAGATTTCATTCAAACTTTGCGTGAACATCAGGCATTATGGGACCTTGATGCATATCATTTTGATTGGATCCTGATATCTTACTTACTTGTGTCTTGTTACAGCTTCAGACTGTCCAAATCCTGGCATTCCCATCAATGGACGTAAAAGCGGTTACCGCTACAATGTGCGTAACACAGTACGCTTTTACTGTAAACGGGGGTATGATATGATTGGTTCCCCAGTAAGAGAATGTCTACCAACTGGTAGATGGTCTGGAGAAGATGTCACCTGTGAAGGTTAGTATTTCAGTTTCTGTTATTACCAGGGTTAATAAGCCAAAAAAATGATTGTCCTGCTGACCCGATAAATCTAGAAAGTTGGTGGTGTTAAAATGATGGTCCTGATAGATCAGTCAAATATGGCAGTTTTGAATCAAATTTGACATGATATATTAACTGCAGGTTGGATATTAAACAAATTTACAGTGGCCCCTTGCTAGGTCATGAGTGTCGGAATCCAAGCAAAAACCGTGACTTATCGAAGGTCTTGACTTGCCAAAGGGGTCTTGTGAAAGGGGAGTTTATGCATTGAAAATGAATAAAAAGCACATATACACACATAGGTTTATTTATACCGGTAGTATATTTTCTTTATTGAAACACATCATAGTATTTATGTCTGCATGGTTTCAACTAATTGCAGCAAGTTTTATAGAGCTTTATGATAGAGGACAGACTGTTAAATTTGGTCCAGACAGACATATAGTTTTCTATTTGGTTCAAGTATCAGCAACAAACATATGTTCCGTTCCATAGTTCAATTCATTAAGGCCAGTTTGTATTTTTGATCTTCTCCTAGAAATGTTATAATAGTTAATCATTTTTTTTGAAATAATGCACTATACTTGTTGTATTTTTAGATCCCGATGACTTTGACGATATTAACGAGGTTGCACCTAAACTTGCCAAACATTTTGACACTCTACAACTGTTATCCACTTCAACTTTTAATATAAGTAACACAATCAGCGCAAATTCTTCAGAAGGCCCTGAGGGACGTACAATAGATCTTAACCATGCCGGAGGTCTGGATTTGTACTTTATGCTAGATGCATCTGCTAGCGTTGGGGAAGAAAACTTCAAAATAGGTTTGAACTTCGTCAAGAGGCTTGTTGAGAAGGTATGTATTTATTTTCTTTATTAACATTAATTTTCATGTGAATAAAAATGTGTTATAATGTAATCTGACCCAGAAGTAAACAAACAAGTTTAGGTCAGTTGTCTAACCTAATGATTTCATTTTACATGCCAAACCTGTTTTTATGGCCAGAATCAAAAATGGAGGATACTCAATTAAATTTCCAGCTGCATGCTAAACAAATTTCACCGTACATTGTCATGTACAGGTAATATGAAAATTTCATTTGCAAAATACTTTTGTATAAAAATATGGACCAACATTAATTAAAATAGCCTTTGTCACAACCTTGTCTGTTCTTGTTCTTCAATATATGCTTTTCTTTGTATGAATGCATGTACCGGTTTTACGCTGTGAACCAATTATCTTGAACTGCAAAACAACTTGGGAGCTTTTAATGTCTATCTAGGCTAAATTCGATCGTCATTGATTAAATCACAACACTGATCAACTTTCTTTGATGAAACACAATTGTATACCACGTTTGATCTATTGGAACAGTGTAAATTTGAGATATAAGCAAATTTTTTGTTGAACAAAATGACTGCTAGTCAGACATATTGAATAGAATCGAACACAAATCTACTTATATCTTTGTGAAATATTATATTGCCTCGTTACCAAGTCTGTTAAAATTTGTTACTGATTTCATTATTTGAAGTGGCTGCAGACAATTGATGAAATCAAATTTTGGTTGTTTATTCAGGTGGGAGTATCCGCTGACAAGGGTGGTACACGTGTTGGGGTGCTGACATATGGTTCAGATGTAATTATCAATTTTCATTTATCAGATGATTTAACATCAACTGAATTAGTTGTCCAGGCACTGGATAATATTGACTATGCAAGTAAGTATCTAATTCTATTCATAATATATTATAGTTTAATCGAATAATTCTTGGATAGCAAAGGTGATAGATCTGTACCACATGAGTGTGTTACAGAAACAAAATGGAAGACTACTAGTGTGAACATTGAATCAATTCAGCCAGCTTAATACTAAAATAAATCATTGAATATACTTGTATAAGTGAATCTGCAAATATAAGGGAAAGGCCCTGTAACGGTTGTCTAAAAAACCCGGAACCGGAAACGGACTGGAACGTGAAATTAAAAACATTTCGACATACTGGTTGTTTAATATAAGTGATATTGCATTAATGGATTTAGTTTGTATATTATTAATATCACAGTTTGTAGTTATGTATACACTCATTCTAATAATGTGGATGAAATAATAGGCCAAAAGCGCATGTTTACATGTACGATGTTTCCGCTTGAGGGCGCACTTCACGTTTTGGGTTAATGTGTTACACTTAAGTCCTGTGAGTCCTTTTGCTTACAAATATTTGTAATTTTACGTTCTGGTTCCGGTTCCGGGTTTTTCGGACAACCCCCTGTAACTCATATTAAGATTCTAAATTAAAATTGTTTAACAAAAGTTGTTGTTTTTTTGAGTACACACACTGACCTTCTACCCTGCAAATTGAAGTTAAAGTCAGTATAGTTGTTATATATCTACTATCAAACTAAATTAAAAGGCTAACTTCAAATAAATTATTACTCTATAATATGAGTTCAATGAATAGTGATTATAATGTAATTAAATTTAAGCTTAGATCACCCAAAGATTTTTTATTTTTTGTTTCCTATTCCATGACAGGAATTGAGTCATGTCATTCTTATTTTGCACATCAATTTTCAGTTGCATGCAAACATTTTCTAGGTAGTATATGTGATAAAAAATAACTACAGCTTCATTTTAATTATACAAAAACCTTTTTTTTTTTCAGCTCATCAAGGCAGACGAGGTACAGCTACTAAAGATGCTTTGAAAACTGTACGAGAAATAATGATTCCACAAGCTGCAGCATCACTAGTAGACAGGTCATTTGCCAAGAAGGCACTCTTCCTCATTACTGATGGTTTGTAGTAAATTCTACTCAGTAACTTCATAACATTCACAATTCTACTTAGTAACTTCATAACATTCACAAAGGGATCCTCAATTCACTACACCTAGTTTTTCTCAGTAATGATGATTATTGTCTGGTATCAAAGTCATTACATATTCCTTATTGAATTACAACTAATATTTCATCACCTTGAGTTATTCTAAGATGAAATCACTGTACTTATGTAGCTCAAACTTGATACAAAAGTTTTTCTGATTAAAATAATAATAATAACTTTATTACACTACTATGCCATCAGAGGGCGCAGTATGGTAAATAAAATACAAATCATAAGAAAAAATACAGTAGCTAGACTATAAGATAAAATTAAAAATAAAAGATGTTAAAAGCTTAATAGGAAAAACAAATTAATGATAGTTACAGGATTCTCCCAATGTAGAGGTGATAGCTATCATATACCTGATTTCTGTTTTGCCTTATTTAGAAACTTTGCCAGGGGTATGAAGCACGTCATTATTTTAATGAAATTATCTATTTTATTTAGTTTATTTTTAATTCCTATTTCCTGAAACAGCTCCCCTCTTTCTTTATTGAGAAATTCACAATCTAGGATAAAATGTTGTTCGTCCTCAACTGAATTTGTATTACATTTTTTACAAAATCGCTCATCCGCAGGAATTTTTGGTCGTTGTTGTCTGCCTCTTTCAATTTCTAAATTATGATCACTAAGCCTAAATTTACTCACAATTCTCCGAAGGCTGAAGGCTGCAATAATATCTTTATTGCATTCTTAGAAATACAATCTTCCTATTAGTCTATAGCAATAAAGTTATAAAAGAAAGTTTAGTTAGTTTATAATAAGTTAAAATTAAAATAGCCTGAAACCAATAACTAGAACTACCAAACTAATTTATTAGCATGGTAATTAACACTGCACAGTCCACAATTAAAACAAAGGCAATACATGTGTTTTATACACATAATATATATAATAGTATCTTTCATTCGCTAACCAATCCGACTTTGGGGGAACCGTGGTTAAGGTCCACAGGTGCTCGTGTTCGACCGAGCCTGGTTGATGCCAATATAGCGTATTAAAATTGCCATTTGATAGGGAGATGGCTGCACAGTCCCGTCATGTAGTCCCAAACATGAACTTGCAATTTGCACATACAAAAAAAAGTCAGGAGATACAACAGTAACACACAATGTCCGTAGCTGTCACCTGGCACAAAAACATATTTAAAAAAAAAATAATAGTAACTTTATTACACTACTACAGAGGATACAGTATGATAATTAAAACACATCAACGTAAAAAAAGATAAAAAAAAGTGATAATTGATGGGATTATCAATATTCAGCATTGAAAATCCACTTTTTGACGCAACAGGGCATGATACATACACCTGTCAAAAATGTTTACAACAATGTTTACAGCAATGTTAACAATGTTTACAGCAATGTTTACAACAATGTTTACAACAATGTTAACAACAATTTTTTAGGAAAGTCCAACATAGGAGGAGATCCAGCAAATGAAGCTGATAAACTGAAGACGGAATTCCATGTTGATGTACATTGTGTTGGGATTAGTCAAGCCAGCAAAAAACAACTGGTAGATATTGCATCAAAACCATCAAGACAACATCTCTTTTTTATTGAAGATTATGAGAGATTAGAATGGTTGATTAGTGCAATTACAGATGTTGAAGTCGGTGAGTATTAAGTTTCTATTTGTAAGATTGTGCTCATGTGTGAAAATGATTGACTGCATACAAAATGTGAGAGGGTAAAGATGCAGTTATACCTCAAAAGCAATCAAGCATTGAGCCATGTATAGATTTAGACTGTGTGTGTCAAAGGTAGGGTCCATAGTGGGTAACCCATAACACTGCCTTACAGCTTGGTATCACTCATGAGGGTGTGAGTATCAAAGGTAGAGTCCATGGCGGGTAACCCATAACACTGCCTTACAGCTTGGTATCACTCATGAGGGTGTGAGTATCAAAGGTAGGGTCCATGGCGGGTAACCCATAACACTGCCTTACAGCTTGGTATCACTCATGAGGGTGTGAGTATCAAAGGTAGGGTCCATGGCGGGTAACCCATAACACTGCCTTACAGCTTGGTATCACTCATGAGGGTGTGAGTATCAAAGGTAGGGTCCATGGCGGGTAACCCATAACACTGCCTTACAGCTTGGTATCACTCATGAGGGTGTGAGTATCAAAGGTAGGGTCCATGGCGGGTAACCCATAACACTGCCTTACAGCTTGATATCACTCATGGTATCTAGAAGTGACATCATTATTAAACAATATCCAACTATATCATTCAGTTAACAACTGTGATAAATTAACCTCGGCACAAATGAAACAAATTGATTTGGGCATCAAGGATTTATTTCTAACAAAATGGAAAGGTGAGGTCCATAATGATAACCGCACCAAAGCAAATGAGAAAAACAAACTAAGAACATATCGGCTAATCAAATCAGATTTAAAACTTGAGCCATATTTAGTCAAGCTAAAAAACTTTGAACTGCGTAGTGTGCTTACCAAATTTCGTCTTAGTGACCATAGTCTCAAAATTGAAATGGGTCGTCATAAAAAAATCCCACTAAACAACAGGGTTTGTGACATGTGTAACAAAGGTCTAATTGAGGATGAAATGCATTTTCTGCTGGAATGCAACAAATATAATGAGTTGCGTGCCAAACTGTTCAATAATATAATCCCAGCATTTGAAAATAAACCTGCAGAGAAAAAATTCATGGAATTGTTACAGAATGAAAACATTATTATTCCAGTAGCACAGTTCATAAGTAAAAGCTTTGAAGTCAGGAAGCAGGGTCTTACTTGACATCTTAATGCCTGCTGTCAATTTTGTAATTTTATATTAGATTGTATTTTAGAGATTTTGTATTTTTTAGTAATTTAGTGATTGTATTTGTTATTTAGTATATTGTGTTTTTGTTTTTGTTTTATATATATATATTTCTCCTTGTACTTTGTGACCATTTTCTTTCCCTCCGGGGATTGTGTAAGAGTCAATGAGTAAATAAATAAATAAATAAATAAATAGTAGTGTATTGTACTACTTTACGGTGTATGAGTTTCTGACTTCAGATCTCTGAAAATTATTTCTTCTACATCAGACGCAATTGTGAGCAATACTTTCATCAATTTGTACTACATTGTGTAGTAGTTTGACAATTAGGGACGACGTCAAAAGATCGATGTCGGATAAAAAACTTAATTCCTTTAGTTTTTTTCCAAACCCCCCTACCCCCACTGAAACTTAATTGATAAATATTGGTCATG